ACTGTGATATTGCTTTGTGAAAATACTTTGTGAGGTTACCTTGTGGCATTACCTTCTGACATTACTTTCTTACTTTACCTTGTTACCTTACCTTGATGCTACCTTGTGATGCTAGGTTCTGATGTTAGTTTTTGACCTTACCTTGTGACATAACCTTGCAATGCTACCTTGTGATGCTAGGTTCTGACGTTGCCTTGTTACCCTACCTTGTGACCTTATCTTCAGATGTGACCTCGTGTTGGTACCTTGTGACATTACTTTTTGACGTTACCTTGTGACGCTACCTTGTGAGGCTTCCTTGTGAGGCTACCTTGTGACTCTACCTTGTGACGCTACCTTGTGACTCTACCTTGTGGCGTTACCTTGTGACGTTACCTTGTGAGGCTACCTTGTGACACGACCTTGTGACGTTACCTTGTGAGGCTTCCTTGTGAGGCTACCTTGTGACTCTACCTTGTGAAACTACCTTGTGACGTTACCTTGTGACGTTACCTTGTGAGGCTACCTTGTGACGTTACCTTGTGAGGCTTCCTTGTGAGGCTGCCTTGTGACGTTACCTTGTGAGGCTTCCTTGTGACACTACCTTGTGAGGCTACCTTGTGAGGCTACCTTGTGGCGCTACCTTGTGACACTACCTTGTGACTCTACCTTGTGACGCTACCTTGTGACGCTACCTTGTGACGCTACCTTGTGACATTACCTTGTGAGGCTACCTTGTGAGGCTACCTTGTGACTCTACCTTGTGGCGCTACCTGGTGACACTACCTTGTGAGGCTACCTTGTGAGGCTACCTTGTGAGGCTACCTTGTGATGTTACCTTGTGACGCTACCTTGGGACGCTACCTTGTGAGGCTACCTTGTGACTCTACCTTGTGGTGCTACCTTGTGATACTACCTTGTGACACTACCTTGTGACGCTACCTTGTGACGTTACCTTGTGACGTTACCTTGTGACGCTACTTTGTGACGTTACGTTGTGACGTTACCTTGTGACGTTACCTTGTGACGCTACTTTGTGACGCTACTTTGTGATGTTACTTTGTGGCGCTACCTTGTGACGCTACCTTGTGACGCTACTTTGTGACCTTACTTTGTGGCGCTACCTTGTGATGTTACCTTGTGACGCTACCTTGTGACGCTACCTTGTGATGTTACCTTGTGACACTACCTTGTGATGTTACCTTGTGATGCTACCTTGTGACACTACCTTGTGATGTTACCTTGTGATGCTACCTTGTGACACTACCTTGTGATGTTACCTTGTGATACTACCTTGTGACGCTACCTTGTGATGCTACCTTGTGACGTTACTTTGTGGCGCTACCTTGTGACGTTACGTTGTGACGTTACCTTGTGACGCTACTTTGTGACGCTACTTTGTGATGTTACTTTGTGGCGCTACCTTGTGACGCTACTTTGTGACCTTACTTTGTGGCGCTACCTTGTGACGCTATCTTGTGAGGCTATCTTGTGATGCTACCTTGTGACATTACCTTGTGACGTTACCTTGTGAGGCTACCTTGTGAGGCTATCTTGTGACGCTACCTTGTGGCGCTACCTTGTGACGTTACCTTGTGACGTTACCTTGTGAGGCTATCTTGTGACGCTACCTTGTGGCGCTACCTTGTGACGTTACCTTGTGAGGCTACCTTGTGATGTTACCTTGTGATGTTACCTTGTGACTCTACCTTGTGACACTACCTTGTGACGCTACCTTGTGATGTTACCTTGTGACTCTACCTTGTGACGCTACCTTGTGATGTTACCTTGTGACACTACCTTGTGATGTTACCTTGTGAAGCTACCTTGTGAAGCTACCTTGTGACACTACCTTGTGATGTTACCTTGTGATGTTACCTTGTGAGGCTACCTTGTGATGTTACCTTGTAACGCTACCTTGTGATGTTACCTTGTGATGTTACCTTGTGACGCTACCTTGTGATGTTATCTTGTGATGTTATCTTGTGAGGCTACCTTGTNCTACCTTGTGATGTTACCTTGTGATGTTACCTTGTGACGCTACCTTGTGATGTTATCTTGTGATGTTATCTTGTGAGGCTACCTTGTAAAACTAGCATGTCACTCAAGTGAGGCAGTGGAGGCACACAAAGGAAACAAACATTAATTCTACAATTTAGTTCTGGATTGTGTCATGTGTGTTGCGTTTAAAATAAATGGAATTACATATTTGTTGAATCAAACTCAAACAGTGACAACCTTTTTTTGGCTTTAGCTTTTATTGGAGGATGGTGTAAGCGTGGGGGGGGAGGGAGAGGGGATGACATAAAGCAAACAGCTGCAGGCTGGAATTGAACCTGTGGCTGCTGGGGCAAGGAGAGTGCCTTCATATATGAGACGCCTGCTCTACCCACTAAGTTATGACGACTTGTTTCTCTGTGTGTGAGGAGTCGTGGAATATTTGGCCTGAATATCGTCACACTTATTGGAAACTTGGCTGTGGACAGTTTAATCTAGGAAGGGTGGCTTTTTCCTTCAGAAACATTTCAGGGAATCTCAAATCCAATGACAAACAGAACTGGCAGAAAACAAGAAACTGCCAGAGCGGGGGAGGGCGGGTGTTAAGGAAGTGTTTGGAAGGGGCAGAGATGGATTCAAAGGAAGGGACAGAGACAGACTGTGAATAGCCCTCCACACTCTCAGCCCAGACAGTGTCCATCAGTTGAACAGGGACCTTTGAAAGAATGCCACAGAGGCAGAGCCGAGCCGAGACACTGCGCTCTCTGTTCGGCTCTCGAGACTCTGGAGGAAAACACTCTGATTTGGAAGGCAGACGATAAGACCCAGTGAACCTCCTTCATTCATTCTGGCCGACTCTGCGGGCCACGGTTTTGGAGCACCCCGGCTGCACACTCGTGGCCACAAATAGTCTGATCATGCTGTTTTTCAGGGTTGACACACAGACGGATATTTTTGTTTTGAACATGCTGTGGTTTGTGCTGACATTTACTACCTTGAAATTTTGCCATTGTTTATAGCAGAAAATAACAAGGATTCTTTGTCAGAATGAAAAGCCTCAGAAACAGTGACAGAATAATGCAGTCATTTGAGGTGGTGAATTTGGCCCTTTTTTTTTGGAGTGACACCTCTGAAAATGTTGAGTAAAGTTCTCCATGCTGGACTGACGTCTTAAAGGAAAACACATGAAGGATTTGCAGGATACCACTGCATTGCATACAAAAATAATTCTCTTCATGTCTGGGTAGTGTGAGGACATAACACAATACTCTGAGCAAACTTAACCACAGAGGGAACATGCAAACTCCTCGCAGAAGGAACAGGGATGTGATTCAAACCCTGCTTTGAGTTGACAGTGCTAACCACTGTTTGGCCCCTCAGGAAATATCAATAACATTAAATGTTTTTGACTTTGAAATGAGACAGCTGGGACATTTTAACTCTGCTACGAGGAGCGCAGAGCCCCGAGGATGGCTGTGTCGGCCAGTCAGTCACTCCATCAGAAGGCTGGGTCGAACCACTTTGGCATAGATGGATTAAAGGAGCAGAACGGCATAAAAGGACCCAGGGGACATTTCTGACCCTTAACTGGCGTTTAGACAATGGTGCTGCATTAGAGACACACGAGACGGTGTTGGTGGGAGCATGAGGGAGAGGTTAGCAGTAGAATTAAAAACGCTTTGTCATTGCAGTTGAGACACAGCCCCATCTTTACTAAATCAACAACTGACCCAGAATTAAAAAGCACTCATGCACAATATTAGATGTTTTACTAATGTCGGGTGTGCCGATATTTAACAGCTCATTGACAGATACGGATATCGATATATCCATTTTTTTCCCACCTGATTTTAGTGATCATCAAGTCTCTTCTGCAGTGGAATTAACATCATATTATACATGCATACTCTTATCATGACGGCCCACCAGCAGATGAAGACATGAAATACTTTGCCATGTATGTAATATTCATTCACTTTGCAAAATAAGAAACAGCAGGTTGGCCAATTCTAACAGTTCATTTTAAAGCTGATATCGGCCGATATTGATGATGAATTGATATTGTCGTGCATAAAAAGCAAATAAACGGGATGTGTACGGGTCCTTAAAGAGTCTTAAAATGTCTTAAATTCAATGTTACAACAAGTCAATAAATAGTCTTAACTACCACACACATTTTATCTCATTTCATTCATCCTTTTTTTAAATTTCTTTTTGTGAAAATGAGTGAAGCCTTTCTTCGTGAAAGTTCACATTTCTAATGTTACAAATCTTTAAAAAAACTGTAACAGTCATTTTACTTCATACTCGCACTTACCTGTCGGCAAAATGTAGATCGACTTACTCATTCTGATAACCATATTCCTACAGAACACTTACCTCTGCACAAGACCACATATGCACTACTTACCTGCGATGCTTAAAACATGATTCATCCAAAAAATCTGGTTAAAAGGTGTCTTGAATGGGTCTTCAAAAGCGTTAAATTTAACTGTCTAATACCTGTTGACATGACACCCTAAGAAACAGCATTGCTTTTAGTAGAGCTGTTTCACAATTCATTTTTAAAAACTTGATTAAACGCTGAATTTCAATAGTTAATCACGATCAATTGCATATTTAATTGGTTGTCTTAAAAAACAGAATTTTGGTTTAAAGAACAGCATGATGTGGTCGTCTCATCGCAGTAGGACTTCTCCAAAAGTCGATAAATGACTGTATTGAATTATCGCCCAAAGACAGAGGACAGAAATACTTGAATTTTGACAGCCACAGAGAAACACTGGTGAGGACAAATATAAAATGCAGCTCCATAAAAACAGAGATGTGACAAGATTTATTGGATTTATTTCGTTTTGCTTTGGCGTCCACAAAGACTGTGTTTATGTTATTTCAGGACAAACTGGCTAACATAATGGTTCTCCATTCTTCATCCTTCCTCTTCCCTTCTGTACCTCCTTCCCTCCAATCCACCTTCTGCCATCCCCGCTCCTTCCCTCCCTCCTTCTTGTCCCCCATCACAGGGGCGTGGAGCCCTACGACCCCCCCACCACAGTGCTGGTCCAGAGGCACGAGCCCCAGGGCGTCTCCACCATCCTCAGCAGCACCGACTTCTTCCAGAGCGAGCAGAACCGCAGAGTGATCCTGGAGCAGGTGGACAGCTTCCAGCTCCGAGACAAGTACCTGTTCGCCACCACCACACGGGTAAGAGAGGCGGGGGAGGGGCAGCTGAACGCTCAGCCGTTAAACATGTTTGGTTAGTTTGAGTAAACTCGACATGGCGAGGTGTTTTACCACCGTGTCAGTCAGATCCTGTTATTTGGAACTTATTTAATATCGTTACCATGCTGTGCCTGTTGGTTAATGACGTAGCTAAAGTTTGGGCATGGTTTGTAGGGTTGAGCCGAATACTTTGATGAAACGAGTATCATGCGAGTTTCATTATCTGGAAAATCCTCATTTTGGTGCCTGTGTTTAATCTATTACGATAACAAATGATGTGAAGCTTCAATCTGAGGCTGTTCTGTAAATACATTTCTCATAGGTAATAAATATTGCAACCTCTGATCAATCCACATAAATTTCAAGCTTAAAATAACAACTTCCAACTTAAACTCCACCCACTTATGGCATAAACTCCACCCATTTTGTGTACACTTTATTTGTTTATTTGAAGAGGACCGTGCATATTAATGAACAATCGGTACAAATACATGACGTCATGTAAATATGCCGGATTTAGCTACAAGCTAATTTCCATCCGTAGTCCTCACATTTAAAAGACAGACAGACATACCATAAATAACAGTTAAATCAACAACATATAAAGTGCACAACAATATTAACAGCAGTTATACAGTAGATTCAACAAGGGGCTACAGTAGAGAACTGTATGAGAGGGCTGATCAATGATTCATTCATGGGTGCAGATTTGATGAGTCAATAGCCATCCTTTAAGCTGTTTTTTGAAAGTAGTGAGAGTGGGACTGTCTCTGATTGTGGTTGGGAGACCGTTCCAACCTGCACTGCCCTTTACAGTAAGGGAATTTTGGCCTATAAAGGTTTGTCTGAACTGCACCTCGCAGTCCCCTCTGGAGGCAGATCTGGTACTGAGCGTGTTGTCTCTCCGTTTAAAAAAAACCTCCAACGGGGGAGGAGCCAGCCCGTTGAGGGTTTTATAGGTGAGGCAGCTGTATTTAAAAGTTTTTAAATGTTCAAAACTCAATAAATTGTACCTCGCAAGAATTGGACAGTGATGTGAGGAATATGGTTTTTTGGTGAATACCTTGATGGCTTTTTTGTAGAGTTGTTCAATTGGTTTCAGTGTGGTGACTCCAGCAAACGACCATATCACAAAACAGTACTCAATATGAGACAGAATCATGCAGTGGAGATCAGATTTAGCAGCATCAGACGAGATGAGGGGCCTGATTTGTTTGTTGTTGATCACATACAGATACTTTAGTTGGTTGAATAGATACAGGTAATGGTGTACTTGCTCATCCCTAATGGTTAGCCTAGCGTAGCATAAAGACTGGAAGCAGTGGGAAACAGCCGGCCTGAAAAATGACCCATAACACATGTCGTGTGTTTTGTCCACACACAAAAAGTTTTAGAGGGAGTCAAACAAGTGAGCGTAGCAGCTGTTGTAACATAAACAAGACTTAAAATATGTGACACTCCCACAAGCTCTCTCATACACACACATTCAAGGTGCTTCCCTGCTCTTGTGTGAACTATAATCACAGTCACCACAAAGTAACCAGACACCCAAATACGTTTGTCATTTAGTGTATCAACAAACTGTTGGAATAAACACACTGAACAATAAAACGGTTGGCTCCACAGATGTGTTACTGTTACAGTCTGTGAAACTCTATGTAGTATGTATGATGGAGCTCAGAATTCAGTGACTTATGACACTGCACCATCCTGACCACGGTAAATCCAGAAGTCGCTGCCTAACCAGGTCCTTCATTTAAAAAAATCCAAACGGCTGATGCCAAAAACCCTCCGATGTCCAAGTATGAGTCCTGCAGTGCTGCACTTTTGATTCGCTGAGTGATGTAAACTCAACTGCTAAGCTAGCTAACAGCCACACTAGTTAAAAGCTGCTAAAGTAGCTAGCTAGATGCTAGCTGGCAAAACCGTCCTCACAGTTCTTCCTGCACTTTGTCAAGTGTTTTGTTACAGTCACTGAAAAAAAGCCCCACACTTCCTGCTCCTGTGCTTACAGTCAGTTATTGACACTGCCTCTGTGCTGCTGCATCACATCTGCAGCTGACTGTACCAACGAGTAGCGTCACTCTGCAGCAAAATCTAGGGACCAAGAAGTCCCCCCAAAAAACGACGTCTCAACTTGAAGCTATGGGTCGACTGACAGGTGTCCAACTGATGAAACAAATCTCCTATTTCATGGGGCAGATCTAGAGTATCTGTGTGTGTGTGTGTGTGTGTGTGTGTGAGAGTGTGTGTGTGTGTGCTGATTTTAAGAAGAGCTGAATAACATTCACTGTTACTGACTGAAGGAGCTCGGTCCAGTGTGAAGTTCTCTACTTGTCAAAGCTTCAACAAAGGAATATTGAGCTACAAAAAGACAGAGCTTTTTTATTCACTGTTATCGGCGCTGGTTCCTCGGTGCTGTGTTTGTGTTGTCTGTAGTTTCCTGTGGTTAAATAATATCCTCCCCATCGACAAGTCTTTATTCAAACTGCACCAGACAACGGAAATGTACCAAGTGACAGTAGCCATTTCCTGCTGTGCACCTGCATACATATTTAAAAGCCTACATTGTATAACAGCACAGTTAAGCCGTGTAGCGAGCAGCCAGTTTCCCACCTCAGCATAATGTGCTGAGTGTAACAGCCGTTAGATCAATATTTGGCCGGCGGTAATGTGAAGCGCTGTATGTTTGTCATTGTTAGTCTCCAGTGTTTGTGTAGAAGACGCTTCAGCTCGGCAGCAGACACACAGACAGCCGAGCAGATGGCGAATATGATTTGGATCTCATCTCCTCCCTTGTTTCACAGGCCGCCTCGGACAGATTTGCTTTTCCTCCGCCTCGCGCGTCGGCGTGGGCTGACGACGGCAGCCTGGAGCCGCAGTGTTTCAGACACAGTTGATTGTAAGGAGAGGTCACTGTGAAGGATTTGTGTGATGTGATAATTGATATCAGATGGTTCACAATGCGAAGTTAATACATCTAATGGTGCTTCGAGTCTCGCTGCTGTGATGAAGTGGCTATTTGCATACTGCTCACATGCTTTAATGTTCCACTCGTTGCTGCTTCAGATCAAGATTGATGTTTTTCCACAGAATAGTTTTCAGTTCTACACTGAACAGGCACTTATTTAAACGACTGGATCTGTCACTATCTGCTCCTCTATACGCTCGTAACACTTGATTGAGAAAGAAAATCTGTGCACTCTGTGAACGTGTTGTCATCTGTTAATGCAGATGCACGCTGCATATGGTGCCATTTACTGTGGCCACAGCAGGCAGGCAGTGTTTAGCACTGGGCTAATGAAGTAGAAGGAATATACAGCAGCCTTAATAATTCCCACTGGCTAATGTGGTCAGAACTAATGAGCAATCCTCATTTCCAATTACTAATGTGGTCCAATAAGACTCAGAGGTTAACCTCACAGTGTTGAGAGGCCAACTGCTGCTGAGTGTGGTTCACTTTACTGCTCACAACATGGAGCAGCGTGATGGGAGAACAGGCGTGTGCAGACTGTGAACCAGAGACGACAGGCCTCATTCACTAATGTGTGTAGAAATGTTCTGTGCATGCAAAATTAATGGTGGCTGCATGGCACGTGTTCACCGGCCAGTTTTGTTCTTAGCACCGTGCGTCTGTTAGTCAGTCACAATCATTTTAAAGGCAGATTTATAGTCGTGCGTCAGTCTATGCAGAGTTTATGCACGTGGCCTACGCCGCTGTTAACATTTATACTTGTGCAGTGGTGGTGTGTCTGTATTGCTCTGCAGTTACACCTCTAAAACACACATTAAACATGGCTTGATAGAGACAGTGTTATTCACACGAACATAAATCAGCTTCATTATAACTCACAGGATTAACAGACAGCACATGGACAGGCACCCTGAGCAGTTTGGGATTCAGTGCCTTGTTCAGGGGCACCTCGTCAGTGCCCAGGAGGCTCACTGGCATCTCCCTAGCTGCCACTCCACACTCTATAATTGGTCCGTACAGGGACTTGAGCCAGTGACCCTCCAGTTCCCAAGCTGAGTCCCTACTGACTCAACTGCTGCCGCTCCCGCTACTCATATGAGGTCAGGAACAACAGCAACATTTAACAAAGGTTGCGTTACAATTTGGCCTCATTGCAACTGACATTGTTCATTGACAAATACATTGTCATATACTAGATAACTTTATTTTTCCCCACAAATACAACATGCTAACACGAATAGCACAAGCTTAAAGCATTTTACATTGTATAAATTAGCCTCGTGGCTAACAGACTTTTCCTCTACTAATATCAGGAACAACAGCATCATTTAACAATGTTACAAAATTTGGCTCCATTACAACTGACACTGTTCACTGAAAAATACATTGTCCTATACTAAACAAGATAAATACAACATGCTTACATTATTAGCACAAGCATATGTCATTTTACATTGTATGAATTAGCCTAGCGTGTAGCAGTTTTTTGCTACTCACATGAACTCAGAATAAATCACACACAGGACTTAAAAGTAAATAAAAGCTTTGTTTCCATTTCCGATGGCCGATGGTCCTGCATTAATTCAACACAGACGTATAAACCCTGCGTACATTGACAAGCACGTTCCCACTATCTGCAATCAGCAAACTGTCACACCCCCGTTTCTCTATATAAGGAAATAGATTATATACAAATATTAAAACTTTTGTTTACAATGTAGAAATGTCTTTTGGTTTTACCAAAGCACATCCCATAAAAAACAACATTCGACAACATACAGGCGACGTAAAAATGGAAATACAAAATGCTGCAATAAGTGACGCAGATCTTACACAGCAGTCAGCAGTTAATGTTCTCAGATAAAATGTTGACACTCTCAGATGTTTCTGCTGATGCGGAAAGAGGAAGTGCATTAGTTGTGCATCATCTTATGCAACAACAGTTTCACAACAGAATATTGTTGCACAGCAGAAAAACATTTTTAATACAGCGTCACCAGTGTCTGTT